ACTCTACGCGCTAAACTACTGAATACAGAAACTCTACACGCTAAACTACTGAATACAGAAACTCTTCACGCTAAACTACTGAATACAGAAACTCTACACGCTAAACTACTGAATACAGAAACTCTACGCGCTAAACTACTGAATACAGAAACTCTACGCGCTAAACTACTGAATACAGAAACTCTACGCGCTAAACTACTGAATACAGAAACTCTACATGCTACACGCTAAACTACTGAATACAGAAACTCTACACGCTAAACTACTGAATACAGAAACTCTACGCGCTAAACTACTGAATACAGAAACTCTACACGCTAAACTACTGAATACAGAAACTCTACACGCTAAACTACTGAATACAGAAACTCTACGCGCTAAACTACTGAATACAGAAACTCTACACGCTAAACTACTGAATACAGAAACTCTACACGCTAAACTACTGAATACAGAAACTCTACACGCTAAACTACTGAATACAGAAACTCTACACGCTAAACTACTGAATACAGAAACTCTACGCGCTAAACTACTGAATACAGAAACTCTACGCACTAAACTACTGAATACAGAAACTCTACGCGCTAAACTACTGAATACAGAAACTCTACGCGCTAAACTACTGAATACAGAAACTCTACGCGCTAAACTACTGAATACAGAAACTCTACGCGCTAAACTACTGAATACAGAAACTCTACGCGCTAAACTACTGAATACAGAAACTCTACGCGCTAAACTACTGAATACAGAAATTCTACGCGCTAAACTACTGAATACAGAAATTCTACTCGCTAAACTACTGAATACAGAAACTCTACGCGCTAAACTACTGAATACAGAAACTCTACACACTAAACTCTACGCGCTAAACTACTGAATACAGAAACTCTACACGCTAAACTACTGAATACAGAAACTCTACACGCTAAACTACTGAATACAGAAACTCTACACACTAAACTACTGAATACAGAAACTCTACGCGCTAAACTACTGAATACAGAAACTCTTCACGCTAAACTACTGAATACAGAAACTCTACACACTAAACTACTGAATACAGAAACTCTACGCGCTAAACTACTGAATACAGAAACTCTACACGCTAAACTACTGAATAGAGAAACTCTACACGCTAAACTACTGAATAGAGAAACTCTACACACTAAACTACTGAATACAGAAACTCTACGCGCTAAACTACTGAATACAGAAACTCTACGCGCTAAACTACTGAATACAGAAACTCTACACGCTAAACTACTGAATACAGAAACTCTACACGCTAAACTACTGAATACAGAAACTCTACGCGCTAAACTACTGAATACAGAAACTCTACACGCTAAACTACTGAATACAGAAACTCTACGCGCTAAACTACTGAATACAGAAACTCTACGCGCTAAACTACTGAATACAGAAACTCTACACGCTAAACTACTGAATACAGAAACTCTACGCGCTAAACTACTGAATACAGAAACTCTACGCGCTAAACTACTGAATACAGAAACTCTACGCGCTAAACTACTGAATACAGAAACTCTACACGCTAAACTACTGAATACAGAAACTCTACACGCTAAACTACTGAATACAGAAACTCTACACGCTAAACTACTGAATACAGAAACTCTTCACGCTAAACTACTGAATACAGAAACTCTACGCGCTAAACTACTGAATACAGAAACTCTACGCGCTAAACTACTGAATACAGAAACTCTACGCGCTAAACTACTGAATACAGAAACTCTTCACGCTAAACTACTGAATACAGAAACTCTACGCGCTAAACTACTGAATACAGAAACTCTACCCGCTAAACTACTGAATACAGAAACTCTACGCGCTAAACTACTGAATACAGAAACTCTACACGCTAAACTACTGAATACAGAAACTCTACGCGCTAAACTACTGAATACAGAAACTCTACACGCTAAACTACTGAATAGAGAAACTCTACACGCTAAACTACTGAATACAGAAACTCTTCACGCTAAACTACTGAATACAGAAACTCTACACGCTAAACTACTGAATACAGAAACTCTACGCGCTAAACTACTGAATACAGAAACTCTACGCGCTAAACTACTGAATACAGAAACTCTACGCGCTAAACTACTGAATACAGAAACTCTCACGCTAAACTACTGAATACAGAAACTCTACGCGCTAAACTACTGAATACAGAAACTCTACCCGCTAAACTACTGAATACAGAAACTCTACGCGCTAAACTACTGAATACAGAAATTCTACACGCTAAACTACTGAATACAGAAACTCTACGCGCTAAACTACTGAATACAGAAACTCTACGCGCTAAACTACTGAATACAGAAACTCTACGCGCTAAACTACTGAATACAGAAACTCTACACGCTAAACTACTGAATACAGAAACTCTACGCGCTAAACTACTGAATACAGAAACTCTACGCGCTAAACTACTGAATACAGAAACTCTTCACGCTAAACTACTGAATACAGAAACTCTACACACTAAACTACTGAATACAGAAACTCTACACATTAAACTACTGAATATATAAACTCTTAACCTTAAACCCCTGGTTAAATGCTGCAGAAACTGCAGGAAAGGCAGTGACCTGAACAACCGCCCATGATCCTCAGCACAGGAACAGAGGGAGGCTGTCTTTTGAAAATGAGTAGGAAGCAAAAAATGAAGTTAGCTGGGGGAAAAAAGAGAAACAGACGAAAGAAGAAAGAAAAACACAGGATGCTGCGATCTGGAACGACGGAGTGCGAGAGACAAGTCAGGGCAGGTCTGGGACAAAGAGATCGGAAAGAATTAAAAAACAACAGGCAGAGAGAGAGAGAGAGAGAGAGAGAGAGAGAGAGAGAGAGAGAGAGGGGCGAGGGACAGATAAGATCGAGAACTACAGCGATGGAATTGTGCTGCGAGCCGGCATTAAAAAGTTTGTTTTACGCAACTGAGGTGGTTTCCAGCCCAATGGACACGCTCTCGCCTGACTCTGCAGGGAAGTGAAGGATCATGGGATATACGTGGGCGGACAATAACGAAACAGACGAGTAAGAGAGAGGGAAAAAGGGAAAGAATAGCCGAGGAAGGAAGACCACAAATGCACTAAACATTCATATTTCTGACTATGAGCAAAGTCTGGGCAACCTGCTGATGAATACACACCAGTGCAACAGTGTTTTATAAAAGCATTTTACCACAGCAAATGTCATCTTATAGAGATAAATCAGCAGAAAAGTTGAGTTTAGGAATAATACACCAATGTAAATACACTTTCAAAGCTCTTTTACAGTATGGAAGTATCTGTCGAGTTCATACATGAGAAATAAACATGCTACCATATAATCAGCAAAACAAACACAAAGTCCAGCTCAGTCTGCGTCCTAATATGATCCTTGACCCGTGTGAGGTCTTCTTATCGAGTTGGCAAAGTGTGTGTGTGTGTTATTTGATATCCAGACCAACAACATTCCCTTCACAAGTGTGTGATACATGCCATGGGAATATCCTCTTCCCCCCGAAACGGGCAATTCTCTCAGAGTCCTGGAGCTCAACCAAACAACCCAAATAAATACCATCCAGGCCCAGCCGGAATCACTGGAATTCTTGGATTTAAATAGAGTTGAAATGACTACAGTGTTACTAGATGAATGCACAATCAAGCTAAACACAACAGTAAACCAATCGCACAGGCACTGAGTAGAAGATGCAGAGGTCTGTAAGTGATGGGTGTAGCGATTCTGCCGAAACATGCGGAGATTTCTCCCGAGTTCTGCGGGCACAGATTCCATGTGGGCCTGATGATAATCCCACAACACAACAGAATCCAGGAATGGCCAATGGGATGCGTAGGGGGAAAGATCATATTTGAATGCGTTATGCTTTCTCTGTGTATGTGCCTCCGAGACATTCGCTCGCTCGCTCGAGGTGGGACCGGGTCAACTATATCCCAGTGGTTCGACGAGTAAATGTTCCCCCGAGAAGCTTTTTGAACTAATATGAAATTATATTTCAAAGCTTTTGCATTCCCTCGCAAAATATGTTGTGATGTAAATAATAGGATTTGTAAGGGCAAATTGCAATTCAATGCAATGCAAATGCAAACTTTCTAATACATCCATAAAACTTTATCACAATATTTTCTGGTATTTATCGAGATAACAACATGAATGACGATATAAATATAGTACCATTCATTCACCACTGTTTGAGGGGTCAATGCAAAAGCATTGCAATATCATAGTCCATGTCCATTTAAGAGCTCCTCATAGTCAGAGTTATGAAGGAAACAGACGACCTCGGACCGACCGGGACTCCGAACAAACATTACCCAGAATCCAAACAGCATTTCTGATAGTGTGCAGGACACTATAGTTCATGTGTGTAAGTGAGGAGAGACAAATAAAGCAAACTGTGGCATATTATACCCAAATATTCTACCAGTAACATTTATAATCATTCAGGACCAAATGTGATTCGGACACTTTGAGCTGATGATGTTCCGCTGAAGTGTGTTTTCTGTAATCGCTAATGCTCTTTTTACACACACTCTGAAGCATTGCTTGGTCACTGGTTGAGCTAAACTGGTATTATCTAATTGTGTAGTTAAATTTACCGGCTGACAGATATTCAACATAATTCAAGTGTGAGTTGAACAGAAGGACAAACAAAACCAGTGAGTTCTGCTCATATTTGAACACCATTTTCTTAACTACAGCGAATAAACTGATAATGTGAGAAACGTTGAATAAATGTTGCCAGTCCAGAATATAAGGATGTGCACGGTTTAATACGCCTGGATATTTTTGGGTTTCATACACTTTTAGTAAGGATCCTGGGATTATAAAGGGGATCCTGGGTTTATAAAGGGGATCCTGGGTTTATAAAGGGGATCATTGGATTATAAAGGTGATCCTGGGATTATAAAGGGTTTTATACAGTTCTACACAGTTCTATAAACCAGAGGACGAGCACTTACTGTTGTTGGACTTGAGGTCGCGGTGTATGACGGGCACGATGGCTCCGCTGTGCAGGTACAGCATGCCTTGGGCGATCTGCACGGCCCAGTTCACCAGCACCTGTGGGGGGATCCGGGACCCAGCCAAGGCCCGGCTCAGGGCTCCCCCCGAGGCGTACTCCATGATCAGGCACAGGTTGGGCTCCTGCAGGCACACTCCCTTTAGCGCGATGATGTTCGGGTGCCTCAGCATGGAGAAGAGGCGGGCCTCGTTCTGGACGTTCTGGGCCGTGACGCTGATGTCCTCGTCCGGGTCCTGCCGGGCCGCCTTCACTGCAACCAACTCCCCTTTCCATGTTCCTCGATAGACTTTCCCGAAGCCTCCGACTCCGATGACCTCTTGGAGACTCAGGTCGGAGAACTCCACCGCCTCCGGCTCGAGTTCGGGAACCACGGCCGGGCCTAAGTCAGGGACGACGCCAGGACATGGGAGCTTCCCGTACCCGCTTGGTTTAAACGAGACGTAGTTCGACGGAAAGATTCCCACTTTGTTGTTAACCTTTCCCGCCCACCATCCCTCATCCCCAGAGATCTCCGAATCCAGAGACAAGACCTCCACGAGATCTCCTTTCCTCAAGGTGAGTTCATCGTTCCCCGAGGCCTCGTAGTCGAACAGCGCGGTCCAGACCGGATTGGTGAAGCTCCCCTTCTGCGTCTGATCCAGGCTCTTCCAGGTGGACAATGGGCTCCGGGAGAAAATGTTCTTCAGCGGCTCCATTGAGTTTTATAAATCAGAATCTGATGAAGTGAGATCTCCTCTTGCCCTCAGATCTCTGTACGTCCCGGTCATCAGTGGATTAGTCTCCATTAGACATTAATCCGAATGTAGGAGCAAAAAATGGACCTGGGATGAAGAAAACTTACATCCAGTTTCCAGAGTAGTCACTTTAGGAGTTTAATTAGACATCAATCCCAATGTAAACGCAAAAATGGAGCCGGAATGAAGTAAACAGGTCCAGTGGAATAGTCTCCATTGGACATCAATCCCAATGGAGGAGCAAAAAAATGGACCCGGGATGAAGACAACTGATGTTCAGGATCCAGATCAGTCACTTTAACAGTTTAATTAGACATTAATCCCAATGTAAAGGCAAAGGAAGGACCAGGGATGAAGAAAACAGGTCCAGATCAGTGACAGACAGTCACTTTAGGAGCGTGTTGTCCTGCATACTCTAAGAAAAACACCATGTATAAATATCATATAGTTCAGTGGAGAATCAAAACATGGATTTATTGACTTACCCTGACCTCGAAGTCCTTCTGAATCTCCCAAACACGAGAACAAACTCGCCAAGAGATGCATTAGAGTTCGAGTCTGTGTTTAGCGGTCCATTGAGGGTCAGTATTTTTAGCTCAGTGGTTTTGCCCGAGCAGGAAACGCTCAGAAGAAGAAGAATAGCAGGAAAAGCGAATTCAACTCGCAGCCAAACGCGCAGAAACGCGTTCGTAAACGCTCTCTCACGCACGAGTCGTCAGTGTCCCCGTCCGGACCGTCATTATGGGTCTGTTTCAGTTCTGCTGGAGTTACTTTAACTTTCGGGTTCGGTATCAGGAAGAGACGCTCAGCTGATCGCTACGCGCTGTTTAATGGCGTCGCGTCGTGTCACTTCTGCGGCTCCACGTCGAGCGTCTTCTTCGGGCGTTGTGTTTCAGAAACGCTCGCGAACTCGGTGTGTTGAGGAGCCAGTTTACCGAGAACTCTTCCCGTGAGCCCGGCGAGGGAGTGGGACAGGAACACCGTCAGATGACTGACTCTCCTCCTCCCTCTCCTGGCCACTGTGAGCGCGCGCGTGCGTGTGAGAGAGAGAGAGAGAGAGAGAGAGAGAGAGAGAGAGAGAGAGAGAGAGAGAGAGTGAGTATGTGTGTGTGAGAGCGAGAGAGAAAATAGTAAATCTAAAGACATTTTTGCCATTGATTCTGTTTTTAAAAGAGCACAAGGACTTTTTAACCCCAGTGCTAACTAAAGTTATAAATCAATCCATAAATTAAAAAGCATCTTCCCTACAGCTTTGAAAACAGCAATGGTAAAGCCTACACACAGGTCAGGACAGGAGACAAGCTCCAGGTCTCAAATTATCCACCTATAAGCATTTCCCCACTATCTCTATCGTATCACAGTTAGAGGAACATCTTGATTACAATTCTGCATTACATCCTCTCCAGTTTGGCTTCATTAAGCGATACTCCACGGAGACTGCATGGAGGAAATTAGATCAAGTCTAGATAGCGGAGGAGTCGTAGGGCGGCTTTCTTGATTTGCGTAAGGCTTTCAATACTTGAATTACTGATGAATTAACACATTTATCTAATAGTTTAAGTACAATCAATTGGATTAAATGTTTTGTGAGTGCTAGGCAGCAGTGTGTATCCATAAATAACGTATCATCTCCCTTATGAGCATGGGTGTGCCGCAGGGCTCTACATTAGGGCCCATGTTGTTTTCCCTTTATATTAATGATTTTTCGCCGAATAAATAAATAGTCAAGTGAAGTCACATCTGTTTGTTAGTCGAAGGAACCACGCCGGTTTGGAGACGAGGCGTTGAGGATCAGTGCTGATGGCTGTCGTGTCGATGAGGCCGGCACTTAAGGATGATATATAACGATAAGGATGATATATAAATAATATATAATGATAACGCCGAATAAACATAAACCTAGGTATCTATTTGGAACACTGGCCCAACTAACAAAGCTTCAAGCCCAGAAGTGTCCAATAATGATAAGATTGATAATATTAGGGACAAAATCATAACTATGCAACCGTCTACTACAATATCGCATCAGGGGGGCATTGTTGTCTCCCTGAGGAAAGATTTGGTTAATTTATATTGGAGAGGAAGATTTTGCAAACTCATTAATTAACCCTATACCGACTAAACTACTGAAAGAGATGCTTCCAGATGTTATAGATCCTCTTCTTAATATCATTAATTCGTCTTTGTCGCTAGGATACGTACCAAAAACCTTTAAGCTAGCTATGATAAAAAAACGCAACTTGAGCCTACAGAATTAGTTAATTACAGGCCAATCTCGAATCTGCCTTTTCTGTCAAAGATACTGGAAAAAGCAGTATCCTCACAACTGTGCTCCTTTCTGGAAACAAATGATATCTGTGTGGATTTCCAGTCCGGATTTAGAGCGTACCATAGTACCGAGACAGCTCTCATTAGAGCCACACATGATCTGCTCTCATCATCCGATCGTGGTCGTTCGTATCTCTCTATTAGTGTTACTCGATCTTAGTGCTGCATTCGACTCAATTGACCACAACATTTTTTTAAATAGAATAGAAAACTATGTTGGCGTTTGTGGAACTGCATTAGCATGGTTTAAATCATGAGAGAGATGTCTTATCGGTCACGAGTTCAGTATGGTGTCCCACAAGGCTCAGTACTAGGACCGCTGCTGTTCACTCTGTACATGCTGCCATTAGGAGATATCATTAGGAAACATGGAATTAACTTTCACTGTTATGCTGATGATACTCAGCTGTATATTTCTTCAAAACCTAACCAAATTTACCAACTCACAAAATTAACGGGATGACTAGAAATGTCCTACTACTAAATTCTGAAAAAAAAACAGATTGCGATCTCGAAATTCCAGCTAGTTGATAATACCTGGAATACCAAAATCGACCACACAAACTTACTCTGGAAACATCAATATTTTTCCATACTGTGATTTACTTTTTCCATACTTTTCCAGACTTGGAAATTACTCAAATCAAATTCCATACTTTTCCAAACTGCGTAGGAACCCTGGATATTATCGGCCGATATTAGGCATTTTCCAAACTATCGGTATCGGCAGTTATAATGGCCGATAAATGAATATTTCAAAAATAAAATAAAAACTGACGAAACACGCTTGAACCATGTCACGAGTGTTGGAGTTGTATAGTTTGTCCACCAGAGGGCGCTCTACACCGTTCCTGTTGGCAACACACGTTGAGTTGGGCACGAGACATACATCGCTTGAATAACAATTAAAAGATCATCCCCATCAGTTCTCTGAACTCAAATAAGCAGGACAAAATATGTGACTATCATGTCCAGTTTCAAATAAATAAAATATCGTCCGATATATCGGAATATCGGATTTTAAAACACAAAAAATATTTGTATCGGTATCGGCCTTCATAATCCTTTATCGGTCGGGCTCTAATATACACACATAATATTGAGCTCAAGGTTATTATAAAGTTACAATTTTTCATACTATAATATATAACTCACATAACCTAAAACCATATAAAAAATAATTCTACACACATGCACACGGGGTAAAACAGGAAATAATTGTATGCAAATTGTGAATATATAAATCCAAACCTATTTTTATAAGCCTAAATATATAATGTAATTATTTGTGTGTGTGTGTGTGTGTTTTATATGGCAGCACTATCGCGTCACAGTACTGAGGCGCTAATGAAGGCTAATAATGCTGAGCGTGAGGCGTGTGTGAGGGACGCGAGCACACACACACACACACACGCCACGAGTAAAGCACATCCACAGAGCAGATTACTGAAACCTCAACTTTATTTCACTCATACAAAATCAAGAAGGTTAAAAGCCAACGTGCCGCTGTACACATGAGACGAGAGCACGACTCTCAGCAAACATTAAAAGAGTCTAAAACATGTAAAACAAAGGGGAATCATCTATACATGTGCATCGTCCCTGTGAGTGTGTGTGTCTGGGGAACGAGATGTCTCTGAGTGACGGTTCAACAGTGTAATCGATGGAGGAAAGAAGCTTTAATAGTAAAACTAGCTTAAAACAGAACACTTGACAAAAGCAAAAGAACGGGCCGATCCGATCCGCACCCCTGCAGACGCGGCCGTCCCGGAGCGGTGTGTGTGTGTGTGTGTGCTCGGAGGAGAGCCGCACGGATAAAGGAAACTAGCACAACTGTTCCTGGACAATAAAACAAGAGTTTAAAAGAAATTAAAACAGCTAGTGTGTGTGTGTCGGCGCCTCTACGAGTCGTAGTCCTCGTCGTCGCCGTCCTCCGTGTGGTTCTGGAGCGGATCTGGAGCCGGCGCCGGCGGGAACACGCCCATGAGGGACGGGTGCGGGGAGAACCCCGACAGCGCCCCCTGCTGGGAGCCCGCGGAGACAGCCTGCGCCGGCGGGACCTCCACACTGCACACACACACACACACACACACTATAACCCTGTGCTGTGCAAAAATATCACTTGGCGAGTTAAAAAACATGAAAATGGTAAGAAAAAAATAATAATAATATATGTCCCACCTGTGGTAGAAGGAGGCAGGCTGTGTGTTTGTGCTGGTCTGAGACCTGTCGTCGTCCTCGTCTCCTTCCGTCTCACTGTCCTCAGAATCATCCTGCACACACACACACACACACACACACACACACACACACACACACACACAGGAATGAATCAGCATTTCATGCAGCAATTCCGCTTGATTGACAGTAACAGCAAACATCTTTCAACCGCTTTATCCTACAGCAGCACGATCTCATAAATCATAAACACTCATTTCTACTATACACACACAATAAAGGGTTAGTTCACCCAAAAATGAAAATTCTGTCAGTTTGTTCCAACCCCGTAAGACCTTCGTTCATCTTCAACACAAATTAAGATATTTAAGATATTAAGATCACTCCATAGGCTTCTTGAGGGAATGACTTGAAAAGTCATTAAAGACATCGTTATAATAGTCCAAGTGACTACAGCGGCTCAATCTTAACTTTATCAAACGACGAGAGCAAAAAACAACAAAAATAACGACTTTATTTCAACTATTGGTTTATTTCTCCCTCTGCGCGAGTCAGGTTACTAGTTTAATAGCGTAAGCTTCTGTTATTGTACGTCACACGCATCACACACATGACCAGCGTTGGCCAATAGTGAGCCTTCGTGTGACGTAGCTTTACGCAATCACACTACGTTAACTGACTACAGGCTCATGGAGAAGGAAGTGAATAGTTGAAATAAAGTCGTTATTTTTTGCTCTCGTCGTTTGATAAAGTTAAGATTGAGCCACTGTAGTCACTTGGACTATTTTAACGATGTCTTTAATGACTTTGAGTCATTCCCTCAAGAAGCCTATGGAGTGATCTTAATATCTTAAATATCTTAATTTGTGTTGAAGATGAACGAAGGTCTTACGGGGTTGGAACAACATGAGGGAGAGTAAATACTGACAGAATTTTCATTTTTGGGAGAACTAACCCTTTAAGAATTGCTCAATGTCCACTGCTGTCACATGACCTGAATACGTTACTGCATCTAGTCAAGATGGCACATAAATACTGGAAAATAACATAAACACGGGAACATATTAGTTCCAGTAAAAGACACTATTTATTACTATTACTTACATTCAGAAATAAACGTAAAATAAATAAAACATTGTAAACACTTTAGTTCCCGTCGTGCCGCAACAAATGCTTTAAAAATTAATTCTATTCAAAACAGAAAAGGAATGAAAACTAAGTGTTTCAAATAAACTTTGCTCATGTTTGCTTGATGTTAAACGCATTCTACACTGAACAACATTAGAAACGCAACACTTTCGTTATTCCCGATCTGAACTCTTCTTCCATGTCCTCAAAAGGCCTATTTCTGAGGCGAGGTGATCTGCCTTAGGCTGTCCACAACAACAGGCCACTGTAAAACGTGACTTGCATAACTCCTATATGTTCAGGTGGACGTGACGTGACGTAATAAAGCAGTGCATTGTGGGTAGTGTCTCCTGCGTGGTTTACCTCTTGCTCCGATTCTGTGCCTGAGAGTTTCTTGTCTTTGCTCTTGGCTCCTGCTCCCCCGTTCTTACGGCCCGAGCCGATCTTACGCCCCCTGAGAGACACAAAGCACCAACACTCAGCACACACACACACACACACACACACACTCCACGCTCTATGGCAACACTAGATAACCACGATCCCTTGGTTAACATTAGTTATAGGAAATCAGCGCAGGTGAATCACATCATTACTGGTGCGTCACAGTAGTTAACCAACACAAACATCAACGTTTTAAACGCTGTAAAAATATTGCTCATGGTTAGTTAGTTAATGCAGTGGCTAATGTTAAAAAAGTACTTATTGTAAAGTGTTACCAATTTATTTTAATGTATTAATGAGCAATAGAATTGTTACATTATTTATTAGTATTAGTTAAGACTAATCCAGCTGTTCATTGTTCATGTTAGTTCACAGTGCAGCAACTAATGTTAACAAATACAACCATTTTAATAAAGAATAATAAAACCTAATTGTAATGAACCTTATTGTAAAGTGTTAGCATGTTGTTTCACACATTTCACAACTTATGCTCATTATAATAAAAGTATGGTGATTAAAATAAAATAAAATCAAATAAATTAAAATAATTATTAATAAACTATGAAATGTGACCCGGTGCATTCATTATTGACAAATATGCATCACATTACGTTTATTTTTTTATTCTTTTGGGTTTTCATCAAGCATAAACTCAATTTATTTATTTATTTATTTATTTAAACAAGACTTAGGCTTCCTATCTTTAGCATTTCTGCTTAATGTATAGTGATTTAAGAAAGGTTAGATATCAGACTGGAAAACAGGGATGGGCAACGATTAATCGCATCCAAAATAAAAGTTTGTGTTTACATAATATGTGTGTGTGTAGTGTGTATAATTACTTTGTATATATAAATACCCACACATGCATGTATATATTAAAGAAATATGTGCATGTATATATATTTATTCACAATTAATATTATATATAAATATTTAATATATTAATAACACATTTTTCATAAATATATACATGCATGTGTGGGTATTTATATATACAAATTAATTATACACACCACACACACACATATATTATGTAAACAGTAATCAAATTTGTTACTTTTTAGGGAGTAGCGCAATATTGTAGCGCGTTACTTTTAGAAGTAGCTCTCACTAGCACACACACACACATCTGAGGTTACTTTAAACATGTGTGTGTTCTTGCTCAGGGTTCGTGTTTTCCAGTAGGGATGGGCAACGATTAATCGCATCCAAAATAAAAGTCTTAGTTACTTTTTAAGGAATGTCATACTTTACGTTACTTTTCTCACCGTCACTTGCTCGTTTTCTTTTTAATAACAAAAAAAAAATCTGCTTTTGGAAAGTTACAAGTAACGGAGAAAATTATTAATTAATAATTAAATCATTATTGACATTATTATAGGCATGTAGTCTTTCCTTACAAACTGCCCAACAAATTAATTGTCTGGCCTTAAAACGCTATAATACAGAATGTATGGCTTCCGCATGTGTGTGTGTGTGTGTGTGACCTGCGCGGGATCTTCTCCGTGGTGTCCGTGTGGTTCTCGTCTCCGTCTCCCTGCATGTCCGGCACCGACGCCACCAGATCCTTCAGGAAGTCAAACTGCTGCTCCAGCTCGATGCACTGCTTTCTGCACACACACACACACACACACACACGCAGGCGTTGGCAAATGGAGTGTGTGCTCGACAGACCGCAGTCATGTGGTGTGTGTGACGTACAGGTGTGACGTGGTCATGGTTTTGGCATTGCGTGACTGGGTGACGTGACAGGCTTTGGTCAGGAGAGAGTCCAGGAACAGCTCGAGCGCGCGGGCTCGCTTTAGTCAAGGAAAGGGTCAGCGCGCACACACACACACACACACACACACACAGGTTCATTTCATTTACTTTATCTATGATTTAACACCATATCAGCTGCAACGGCTATTAATAAAGTACGTTTTACTAGAGTAGAGGTTTTTTTTTATTTGAACAGGATTCAAAAAATATTTATATATATATATATATATATATATATATATATATATATATGAAGAGTTCAGTGCCATTTGAAATTTTGAAAATCAAACTTGTATATTTAAGTTCAGTAATTTCACTTAAATAACAATTAATAGGTAATTATCATTGCCATTTAAGTGAAATCACTGAACTTAAATATACAAGTTTGATAAAAATCATCATTAAAGAAGAAAATTTCAAATGGCATTTAGAGGCTTTTGCATCTGAACTCTTCATATACACACACACACATATAAAAAGTGCAATAAAGTGCAATAAAATAAACAGTTAAATGTGTATTTTAGATGTTTAGCGCAAATATGATGTGATCAAATAATCAAACAGATCAGATTTAATAGTGTTGAGTTTTTACAGAGGGGTTTTGGACTTGAACACAATTTCTCTATGTTTTTAGGAATACAATGTTATAAAAATTAATTAGAATGATATATGAACAAACCCCTCAGTAAAAACCTTCAGAATATAGATGTGAATAAAACTCTAAATGTTGGTGTGTGTACGTGTCACTGAAGTGGAGAAAAAAACGCATCTTTAAAGATATGTATATGATGATGCAAAAAGGTCAAATGCAACAAAAGAAAGTGTTTTTTGGATGTCATCTTTTCAACTATTAAACTAATAAGTGCATGGCAACACACAAACAAACGTGTGTGTTCACGTAGAGTCCTGTCTTAATTAAAGCACATGTGAAGATGTGACGGCGAAAGGATACAGATGATGACAGGAACTGCAGCCGCCACTTTCCCGATCTCTTCATCCGTCTGCATGATCTTCTTGATCCTGGCCTGCAACACAAAACACACAAACACACTCCAGACCTGCTCTTCAACACACACACACACACACTCCAGACCTGCACTTCAACAGTCATCAGGGAACGAGCATCATCTCCGCATGAGAAGTGAAACATGTAAGCCAGAGACCAGTCATGCATGAGATGCAAACACACACACTGTCTTCATTCAGATGTCAACAAAAGCACATGTGTGAGTTCATCTGTCACACTATCACACAACAACAACAACAACAACAACAACCACTCCAGAAGCCAGTCTGACTGACTCAAGTGTGAACGCGGTGTAATCCGGATCAACTGAATCAGACTTAATAATACATATGTTTCCACATTAGCTAACGCCTGGTTAAACACACCAGACTGGGTACAGACCATCACACACACACACACACACAGGGGGAGAAAGAGGGAGGTTAGCTAGCATGCATGCTAACCTCTCTGAAGCTCAAATCTTTACAATAAACCTCACTGAGAGAATCGGTTTGAGTACATTTTCCTCTATACACCGCCCAACATCATAACCTGACCGACTGTATTAGATTAAACCAGATTAAAGCGGATTAGAAGCAGACATTGTGGTTTTAGCGAGCTAGCGGCTAACCGGACCGAAAGCGTTTTTCTTTTCTCGTATTCCCTCATTCAACGCGCACAGTCTCTGTTGATGAGTGTCTTTAAACTCTCGTGTGTGTGTGTGTGCCGGGTCTCACCGGAGGGAATCTGGCGTTATATTTCTTCTTTTTGCTCGGCATCTCTGCGCAGAATCGGCCCGGCAGCGGCTCTGGCTCGGTTCCGTCAGTCTGTGGCCAAACTCAAGGGATGTGAAGGGTACACTCGTTAGATTCGCGCAGATCCGTCGCTAAAGCGATTAAAGCACCATCACCGATCGCCGTCCGTGCGTTTCTGCGATTTTTATCGTCATTTTACGGTGGATTGTTTCCGTGATTTCCGGCTGCACGAGTTCTCGCTTCTTTACGGTTCGCTTTGTGTGCTTCCGGGGTGTTTTAAATAAAGTTCCGAAGTCGAGGTGGAAACCGAAACGACTTTAAAATAAAGTGATATGAGAGGATATACATAGAGGTGTATAGATTAAAAGACAGTTTTCAGTTAGAGTTGATTTATTATTGTTTTTATTCAACACCAGCACGCCATAACAGTTGGTGGCGGAAATGCGCTGACAGAAAACACCAACAAAGAAGAAGAAGACTAGGCGGAAGCCGGAAGTGTTGAGGCGGAAAGCGGGCGAGAGCCGCAGTGACTCAGCAGAGTTTTGCTAGAAAAACACACTACAGAGTGAGAATTTTACACTTTTAATACATTTAATATGGCAAAGAACATATTAAAAATGATGATACTGGGTTTTGCGTTTAAATATGCGATTTTGTATCACGCCTGAACAGTGAAGATCTGATGATACAGACGCAAAAACACCAACAAAAACATCTTTCGAGAACGTTCTTCCTGAATGTCTTCACAAAGTTTTCTTGGTTATGCCAACGTTTAGAGGAAAGTTAAATTGTATCATTATGGGAATGTTAACTTTACTTTTGAACGTCCTGAAACAAGTACAATTTTAAAACATTTGATGAACCCAACTAAAATGTTTCACCTTCCATGATGTATAAATAGGATTTTTTTTGTGTGCTAATGTTCTGAAACAATTATTAAAGACTAGTGTCCGTGTACATAAACTGCTTAGACTAGTCTTTCAAGTTAGACATCGACTTGTTTCCTTTAATTATTTAATCCAGTTTCACAAAAAAGTATATTAGTCACCCCCTTATTAACGTTCAGTAGTTCAAGCTAATTCTTAAAACAGTGTTAAACACTAATTTTATGTATCTAACCCCTATTCAGAATGTTCATCAAAAGCACATATTTAAAGGGGCAGTAAGCGATTTCTGAGAAACACTGATGAACGAGAAGCACAACACACTGGTAGCCAATCAGCAGATGGGGCGTGTCCACTTGTTAGGGGGAGGGGCCTGTGTTGCATAGCGTGAGTTTGGGGGCGGAGCTATAAAGTTACATTCAAGCTATTTTAAGTCATGAAGACATTTTATAATGGCATAAAAATGCTTAAATATATGATTTAGGGATAACGTTTTCATTACTTAAAGGTAACAACAAAACGTAGGAACTTTGACACAAAACCGGACTGAGAAACATCGTACAGGTTTAAGACATTGGGTTTGTGAGTGAGTGGAGACGCGGCTAATTTGCATATTCATACAACCGAGTATACTAAATGAGGCAATGGTGTCGAGTTACATTCAAGATATTTTAAGGCATGAAGACATTTTATAAAAAAAAAAAACGTTAAAATGTGTATTTTGGTGATTTTAAGGGATAAAATTGACTACAGGCGGACTTAATAATAATGTTTTCAAAACTTAAAGGTAACGTTAGCACAACATTCTTAGGAACATTGGCACAAAACCAGACAGAGAAACATTGTACTGGTTGAATTCAACAGTGGTGTTGGGGCAAATTTGCATATTCATAGAACCGCGTATACTAAATGAGGCAAGGGTGTCGAGTTACATTCAAGATATTTTAAGGCATGAAGACATTTTATCAGGACAAAAACTTTTAAATATGTAATTTTGCTGATCACAGATGACTTTAAAAGGATAAAATTGATTACAAGGAGACTTAATAATGATAACGTTTTCATTGTTTGGACAGTATGGCGGAGGACGAGGCCGGTCGCTCCGAACAACTCTCCGCGGAGGATTACGCGGCCGAGGCCATGGCCGCCGACATGGACCCCTGGATCATCTTCGACGCACGCAAGACACCCCGTGCGGAGTTCAGCGGCTGGCTAGAGTCGAACCGGCCGTCGCAGGTGAGCCGCTACGCAACCAGCGAGGGCGATCGGCCGGTGGGATGGATCGCGGTCCGAAGCCCGCACTACTGCCACGAGACCGGAGACGTGGACGGCCTTCAGGACAGCTGGGAGACGCTGCTAGCCAGTGGACGTAGCGTCACCTACCACACCATACGGGAGCTAGCGCTAAACCACAGCGTCCTGTACGGGAAGTGGCTAATGCACCTGGACACGGGCTTCAAGGTGGACCGCGCCTGGGAGAGCATCGCTAGAGCCGTGCTGGACGGCAGGATCAACTCCGCTAAGGCTAGCCCGCGCTCCGACTCCGACCCCAGGCACGTCATCTGCGTCTACAACCAGAACTTCACGGACGAGGAGCAGGTGATGCGTTTGGACGCCACTATCCGCGCGGCCGGCGTCAAGTGCGTGCTTTACTACAAGCCCGACGTCTACACGTATCTGGGCATCTACCGCAACAACCGCTGGAAGATCTGCCCCACCATCTACGAGAGCATGTTCGACCTGGAGAGCGTCCCCCGCCGGTCGCACATCATCGACAAGGTCACCAACCTGGAGGTCACCTGACCAGACGAGGTCACCAACCTGGAGGTCACATGACCAGACACTCGCTTGTTTTGTAGAAACGTTGCCGATTTCTGTTTCGTTACGTTGGAAATGAGTATGATAATGATGCCAAAAGGGCTTTGAGTTGTGTTTTACTTTTTAAAAATTATTTTTTGTATTGAACGTTCGTTCGGTTCATTTGTTCTTGTGCCAAATAAACAACGTTTTCAGTTGTGTCTCAGTGAAGTGTCTCTAGTAGCGCAGTTGTTTGCCAAAGTGCAAAAGTGTGCTTTAGTTTGTAAAATTTAAGTTAAACTCACAGCTAAAGCTAAATGAGAATTAGAAATGATGCCTTTGCAATTAACTAGAGCTGCACGATTAACAATTTAAAGATTAATTGAATCATTCATTGAAGTGATTTGTTTAAAAAAAAGTGCTGATTCATCCAGAAAAAATTAAACAAGTGAACTCTTTGAGTGAGTCATTGAATCGTTCATTGAAGAGATCTGTTCAAAAACACTGACCCATCCAGCAATGAAACGAGTAGTTTTTACGAGTCATTGAATCATTCATTGAAGTGATTCATTTTAAAAAGAGTCGATTCATCCCAAAATTAAACAAGTGAACTCTTTGAGTGAGTCATTGAATAATTCATTCAAGAGATCTGTTCAAAAACACTGACTCATCCAGTAATGGAACGAGTAGTTTTTACGAGTCATTGAAACATTCATTGAAGTGATTCATTTTAAAAAGAATCGATTCATCCCGAAATTAAACAAGTGAACTCTTTGAGTGAGTCATTGAATCGTTCATTGAAGAGATCTGTTCAAAAACACTGATTCATCCAGTAATGGAACGAGTTGTTTTTACGAGTCATTGAAACATTTATTGAAGTGATTTGTTTAAAAAAAGTGCTGATTCATCCAGAAATTAAACAAGTGAACTCTTTGAGTGAGTAATTGAATAATTCATTCAAGATATCTGTTCAAAAACACTGATTCATTCAGTAATGGAACGAGTTGTTTTTACAAGTCATTGAATCATTCATTGAAGTGATTCATTTAAAAAAAGAGTCAATTCATCCCAAAATTAAACAAGTGAACTCTTTGAGTGAGTCATTGAATCATTCATTCAAGAGATCTGTTCAAAAACACTGATTCATCCAGTAATAGAACGAATAGTTTTTACAAGTCATTGAATCATTCATTGAAGTGATTCATTTTAAAAAGAGTCGATTCATCCCAAAATTAAACAAGTGAACTCTTTGAGTGAGTCATTGAAACATTCATTCAAGAGATCTGTTCAAAAACACTGATTCATTCAGTAATGGAACGAGTTGTTTTTACAAGTCATTGAATCATTCATTGAAGTGATTCATTTAAAAAAAGAGTCAATTCATCCCAAAATTAAACAAGTGAACTCTTTGAGTGAGTCATTGAATCATTCATTCAAGAGATCTGTTCAAAAACACTGATTCATCCAGTAATGGAACAAATAGTTTTTACAAGTCATTGAATCATTCATTGAAGTGATTCATTTTAAAAAGAGTCAATTCATCCCAAAATTAAACAAGTGAACTCTTTGAGTGAGTCATTGAATCATTCATTCAAGAGATCTGTTCAAAAACACTGATTCATCCAGTAATGGAACGAATAGTTTTTACAAGTCATTGAATCATTCATTGAAGTGATTCATTTTAAAAAGAGTCGATTCATCCCAAAATTAAACAAGTGAACTCTTTGAATGAGTCATTGAAACATTCATTCAAGAGATCTGTTCAAAAACACTGATTCATCCAGCAATGAAACAAGTGAGCGAATGTTTCCTAGACGACAGTGATTGTGATTGTATTGAAAGCGATTCGGTTCGTTCGGTTCGTTCTCTGTGCCACTCAGTGAAGTAACACACATGCATCTGCATTTCCTGCATTTATTACAGCTCGTGTAGCAGTACAAAAGCACTAAGGCCACAGAAACAGAAGGAGCACGTTACAGAAGAGTATGAATAATAATAATACAGCACAACAGATCAGAGATAATATGTACATGACGTCACCAGGACTCATTCATATGCAGAAAATATTAACTAATAACCTCAGCTTCATGATGGGAACGGCGGCTAATAAAATAGTGCAGTTTTATTTCAACATCATATATAAGCTATAACATGTGAACCGATTCTCTCTTTAGTGCTCTGACATTTAACACGTTGTTTTACTTTTATTTTAGTGCTCAAAAAACCTAATCTGAAATTAAAGTAAAAAATGTGAAATTTTCTCCAACATTCCAGAGTATTTTTCTTTTTGGAAATGCTGGATTTTGTTTTAATGGTTAAATTAAATTCTAATAATTAAAAAATTGAACAATAAATACAGTTTAACAAAAATGGCACATTTATGCCCCGATGTTCTTTCCATTTTACGTTTTAATGGTTTAATTAAATCTGAATAATCAAAAATCATGTCTAATTAATGTAATTCATAGAACAACTTTAATGATTTAATAATTTATTAACATTTTTACAATAATAAGGTTTTGTATAAAAAGTTTATTTTCAGAAAAGCTGTTTTTATGATCCAATACAAAAAATTGTATAAAAAAAATTAACAAATCAATCCTTTATAATTGAAAAAGCAAAAGACGATATTGTGATATTCCCTAAAAGATAATGTGTTATTAAACTGTTAAAGTACTTTCTACTGTACAACGATGATATATTTCTGATGTGTATCTAAGGCTGTGATTGGCTGAGATTCTTGATGAGCCAGTAATTCTGCACTGTGATTGGATAAAAGTGTCTACCAAATGCATATACGCACAAATACGCATTTTACATTCTTATCAGTTCTTGATAAGGCTGTGAGTCTGCGCTGTGATTGGCTGACATGCTTGACAAGGCAGTAATTCTGTGTTGTGATTGGCTGAGATGCTTAATGAGGCAGTAATTCTGCGCTGTGATTGGCTGAGCTGCTTGATAGTTCTGTGCTGTGATTGGCTGAGCTGTTTGATAAGGCTGTAAGGCTGAGATTGTCTTAATAAGGCACTGTATTTATAAGGACGAGGTTTATTCTACCTCACTGTACACAAGATACACATCTGATCCGAAACCGCCACCCAATATAATGTGGTATGCGTTAGGAAGGGTTCATCCGAGACGGCGTGATCCAGGACCGGGCGTTCGCTTGCTGGTGTTCAGAGTAAGGCCTTGAGCTCGGCCTGAGCAAGAGTTCAGGTGGGGTGACCGAAGCCCATGTGGCTGCTGCTGCTGGTGAAGATGGACATGAAGCGGTCGTCGTCGATGGAGTTCAGCACCTCCAGGTCGTCCAGCACCGCGGACGGGTTCGACCCGCTCTCCAGCATGGGCTCGTTCTGCAGGAGGCTGGCGATGCTGGGCGGGAAGTTCATCCAGGGGGAGCTGTTGGCCCCGGGGTCCGGATCCGGGCCCTCGCCCGCCGGGGTCATGTGACACGCCGGCTTGCCCATCGACTCGCCGCCCAACATGGCCTGCGACACAGAAATCACAGAGGATTCGTTTAAAAACACTGATTCATCCAGAAATGAAACACACTTCTATGAGCGAGTCACTGAATCATTCACTCAAACCAACAGGAAATAACTAATAAATAAAACACTTATTTAAAGGTGCAGTGTGTAAGTTTGTACAGCATCTAGTGGTGAGGCCGACAGGAAGTGATGTCGTCGTCTGAGACAGCAGAGAGTAGCCAGTTTCTTTACAAAGACAAATTAATTAAATAGGTTTACTTAATTATTCAGTGAAACTGCATTATTGTGAATATTATTGTGTCAGTGTTTTATTCGCTGACTTTAGCAGCTTCTTAGCTTAGCAAGCGTGTAGAAACACCATATAAACGAGGGTGTTATGGGACCCGCTTGTGTGTAGAGAGAAACGCACATTCTAAGCTAATAAACACACCACGCTTTATTATGTGAGGTCTTTATACACTACTGAACACACAGTTCGGTCAACAGATCCTCCTAAATATCACACACTGCACCTTTAAAATAATGAACATGTGACTAAAAACATGAATAAAGCGCGCGCTGACCTGGAAGTCCTCGATGTTGATGTTGTCGACGTCGTTCGTGACCTCGGAGAAGCTGGGGAACTCGGGCAGCTCGTCGTCCACCCTGTAGGCGCTCTGCATGTCCTGGGGGGCCGCGCTCGGGGCGCTCGCCGCGCTCGTCGGCTCCGCGGAGATGAAGCCGCCCAGGCCGTAGTCGTGCAGGTCCGACAGGTTGACGGTGGAGAAGTCGCTGGGTTGCTGAGAGCTGGTGAAGTTGCTCACTGGCACGGCTTTGGGCTGAGAGTCTACGGTCAGGCTCTGCAGGAACTTCCAGGTGTCCCCGACCGACGTCTGCGGCTCCACCTTCAGGGCGTTCTGGGTCGGCTGAGCGAAGAGCTGTCCCGGAGCCGGCCCGAAGAACGAGGACGGCAGGGGCTTCATCGCGGCGGGCGCACACGCCGACGCTGAAACACAAGCCGGGTCACGGAAGCATTCACATCACAGGACTTTCTTGGTTTTCAAGGACTGAGATCTCACTTATCAAACAATAACTTGCCAAACAAAAGATGGGATTTTTCTGAGTAATCACTGTGAAGCTGCTTTGAAACTATCATTATCGTATAAAGCACTGTAAAAGTAAATAACTGTTTTTATAAAAATTCAGCTTAGATCACAGGAATAAATTACACTTTACTGTGTATTCACATACAAAACAGCTGATTTACACTGGAGTAATATTACACTGATCACTTTTAAAAACATTTTTAAAAACCCAGTTTTTAAAGTGAAGCATCAGTTAATGCCACTGTGCAACTGGAGGATAACTGGAGGATAACTGGAGGAAAACTGGTGGAAAACTGGAGGATAACTGGTGGATAACTGGTGGATAACTGGTGGATAACTGGTGGATAACTGGTGTTGTATAACTGGAGGAAAACTGGAGGAAAACTGGTGGGTAACAGGAGGAAAACTGGTGGATAACTGGAGGATAACTGGAGGAAAACTGGAGGAAAACTGGTGGGTAACAGGAGGAAAACTGGTGGATAACTGGAGGATAACTGGAAGATAACTAGTGGATAACTGGAGGATAAATGGTGGATAACTGGTGGATAACTGGAGGATAACTGGAGGATAACTGGTGGATAACTGGTGGATAACTAGTGGATAACTGGAGGAAACTGGAGGATAACTGGTGGATAACTGGAGGAAAACTGGAAAATAACTGGAACATAACTAGTGGATAACTGGAAGATAACTGGAGGATAACTGGAGGATAACTGGTGGATAACTGGAGGAAAACTGGAGGAAAACTGGTGGGTAACTGGTGGATAACTGGAGGAAAACTGGTGGATAACTGGTGGATAACTGGTGGATAACTGGAGGATAACTGGAAGATAACTAGTGGATAACTGGAGGATAACTGGTGGATAACTGGAGGATAAATGGTGGATAACTGGTGGATAACTGGAGGAAAACTGGTGGATAACTGGAGGATAACTGGAGGATAACTAGTGGATAACTGGAGGAAAACTGGAGGATAACTGGAGGAAAACTGGAGGATAACTGGAGGATAACTGGAAAATAACTGGAACATAACTAGTGGATAACTAGTGGATAACTGGAGGATAACTGGTGGATAACGGGTGGATAACTGGTGGATAACTGGAGGATAACTAGTGGATAACTGGAGGATAACTGGTGGATAACTGGAGGAAAACTGGTTGATAACTGGAGGAAAACTGGTGGATAACTGGAAGATAACTGGAAGATAACTAGTGGATAACTGGAGGATAACTGGAGGATAACTAGTGGATAACTGGAGGATAACTAGTGGATAACTGGAGGATAACTGGAGGATAACTGAAGGATAACTAGTGGATAACTGGAGGATAACTGGTGGATAACTGGAGGAAAACTGGTTGATAACTGGAGGAAAACTGGTGGATAACTGGAAGATAACTGGAAGATAACTAGTGGATAACTGGAGGATAACTGGAGGATAACTAGTGGATAACTGGAGGATAACTAGTGGATAACTGGAGGAAAACTGGAGGATAACTGGAAAATAACTGGAAGATAACTAGTGGATAACTGGAGGATAACTGGAGGATAACTGAAGGATAACTAGTGGATAACTGGAGGAAAACTGGTGGATAACTGGTGGATAACTGGAGGAAAACTGGAGGATAACTGGAGGATAACTGGAGGATAACTGGAAGATAACTAGTGGATAACTAGTGGATAACTGGAGGAAATTTGGTGGATAACTGGAGGAAAACTGGAGGATAACTGGAGGATAACTGGAGGATAAGTGGAGGATAACTGGTGGATAACTGGAGGATAAGTGGAGGATAACTGGTGGATAACTGGAGGATAACTGGAAAATAACTGGAGGATAACTGGAGGATAACTGGAAAATAACTGGAACATAACTAGTGGATAACTGGAGGATAACTGGAGAATAACTGGTGTTGTATAACTGGAGGATAACTGGAGGAAAACTGGTGGATAACTGGAGGAAAACTGGTGGATAACTGGAAGATAACTGGAAGATAACTAGTGGATAACTGGAGGATAACTGGAGGATAACTAGTGGATAACTGGAGGATAACTAGTGGATAACTGGAGGAAAACTGGAGGATAACTGGAAAATAACTGGAAGATAACTAGTGGATAACTGCAGGATAACTGAAGGATAACTAGTGGATAACTGGAGGAAAACTGGTGGATAACTGGTGGATAACTGGAGGAAAACTGGAGGATAACTGGAGGATAACTGGAGGATAACTGGAAGATAACTGGAAGATAACTAGTGGATAACTGGAGGATAACTGGAGGATAACTAGTGGATAACTGGAGGAAAACTGGTGGATAACTGGAGGAAAACTGGAGGATAACTGGAGGATAAGTGAGGATAACTGGTGGATAACTGGAGGATAACTGGTGGATAACTGGAGGAAAACTGGAGGATAACTGGAGGATAACTGGAGGAAAACTGGTGGATAACTGGAGGAAAACTGGAGGATAACTGGTGGATAACTGGAGGAAAACTGGTGGATAACTGGTGGATAACTGGTGGAAAACTGGAGGATAACTGGAGGAAAACTGGACGATAAGTAGTGGATAACTGAAGGAAAACTGGTGGATAACTGGAGGATAACTGGTGATAACTGGAGGATAACTGGAGGATAACTGGAGGATAACTGGAGGAAAACTGAAGGATAACTGGAGGATATGTAGTGGATAACTGGTGGATAACTGGAGGAAAACTGGAGGATAACGGGAGGATAACTGGTGGATAACTGGAGGATAACTGGTGGATAACTGGAGGATAACTGGAGGATAACTGGAGGAAAACTGAAGGATAACTGGAGGATATGTAGTGGATAACTGGAGGATAACTGGAGGATAACTGGTGGATAACTGGAGGATAACTGGAGGATAACTGGAGGATAACTGGAGGATAACTGGAGGAAAACTGAAGGATAACTGGAGGAAAACTGAAGGATAACTGGAGGATATGTAGTGGATAACTGGTGGATAACTGGAGGAAAACTGGAGGATAACGGGAGGATAACTGGTGGATAACTGGTGGATAACTGGAGGAAAACTGGAGGATAACTAGTGGATAACTGGAGGATAAGTAGTGGATAACTGGTGGATAACTGGTGGATAACTGGAGGAAAACTGGAGGATACCTGCAGTGATACTGGTGGCTGTGGGTTTGGACACGGTTAAGGTTCGTTTCGCTGTACTGAACGGCCGTCTGTCTGTCGGTACGGAGGATCCTGCAAATAAAACACACACCTTCACTACAAAACTGACCTCTAACACCTTAAATGAGGTGATCTGACACAACACACACCTGAAATCATGCTGCCGAGTTTGAGGTTCTGCAGCATCCCTTCGGTCCGCTTGCGCTTCTCCATCAGCCGGTGCTCGTCTGCTCGTTCACAACCAAAGACAGAACCCACCGACAACATGAGGCGAGCTGAACTACTGTACTGAGGACGCGAACGCCTCATCTAAAACTGTGGAGGCTTGCTTCTGCACTCGAATAAAATATTCAAAAAGTAATTATGACTTTTAATCTTGTAATTCTTATTTAATTTTGCGGAAAAAAATTGCTATTCTGACTATTTTTTCACAATTGTGAATGTATAAGAAGATATAATTTATATTAAAAAGGTAGTTGCAACTTTTTATCTCGCAATTCAGACTTAAAGATAAAGTGGAAATGAGTGTTTTTGTGTTGTATTGTGTGGCCACACGAAGGAGCAGGCGTCTCACCCGGGTCGGCGGGCAGGTACTGGAAGTCCATGGGCTCGCTGACCTCGCGGTCTGAGGGCCGGCGCAGCTGCATCTTCACCCGCACCGGCTCCGACAGGTTGGTGTCGTGGTACGGGGGCGTGCGAAACACGATGGCCACCTGCCGATGAACGTCAGCCTGCGAGAACGAGCCCTTACTCTCCCACGAGTCCCGGAAGAAGCGCACCTCGATGTCCTCTGAGGGCGAGAGCACAGTAATCACCCGACGGACACCTCGGCACCAGGCGGAAATAACTCAACCAACATTAGAAAAGCTGTCTCTGGAATAAAACTAAACTCAGACTGTCCACAACAAAAGGCCTCTTCTGTAACTCCTAGATCTTATGGTGGACTAGCTTATATTAATGACACTTAAAGAGCAGTACTGTATAAATCAGTGACCCGCACCTTTCTGCACTTTATCACACAGCAGGAAGATCTCGTCTCCCCCTCGGCAGCCGCCAGAGTTCCTGTTCACACGACAGATCTTCAGCTCAGCAGTGTTCGGCGCTCCTGAGGAACACACACACACACACACACACAGATCAGGGGTTAATAACTCCAGTTCTATCAGCACCACTATCTTCAATAGAGTGCCGAAGTTACGACGTCACTCCGTAGGCCAAAACGCGGAAGTGAGTTAGCATTTTAGCATTACGGTTCCCTCGCTCTAAAGCCTATGGGTTTTTTGAATGGGTTTTTGCTAAATAAGGTCTGTGGTGAACAAAGCCTCTAAATATGTTCACGTTTTGATCTATGACAGAGAACACACAGTTATAACCTGCTTGTGGTTTTTTAAACTCTATTGTGTCTGATTGTGTTTTTTAAAATCTTTATATAGGCTTCAAAATGTATAAATTTTGGATTAACTTGTAAAGATTATCTTGCTAGGCAAAACGTGTAAGAGTCACAAGCCTTTGTTGAACGCAGATCTTATTTTTTGCGATTTTCCAAAAGTCTATGGGGAAAATGCATTGCTTTTCGACCGAGGGAACCCGTGCGCCGCTAGCTTCCGGGTCGTCCTACAAAGCTTGACATTAGCATTCAGTTAGGACTGGCGGTCTGGTTCTGGTCTGGATATGAGCAGGAGGGCAGCATTACCCCCCTTAGGGTGAACACAACACATGAACATATATGGATCTTCGCCCGTGACGTCACGACGCGGTTACATGCGCTCTGGTTGGCAGAAATTAATGGCCGTTTGCCGCACAGTATTATAAAGTCATAATTTAACCCAAAGATTGGGTACTGTACAGTCAGTGCATCATCTGTGTACACACCCTTATAGATTAAGGGCAAATTATTGTATTTTCTTTGATACATTTTTACGTATATGTTGACCAGTGTTGACCCATTTTGATTCAAAATAAAGCCCATGGACAAATTACACCTCTATTTTACTCTAGTTGTAACAAATTGACCAGTTAACCTTAGTTAACACAAGTAATATTCGTAATTATGACTTATAGGTAGGGTTGGGTGTCGTTTGAATTTGAACGATTCTGATTCCGATTCCTTGTTTCGATTCCGGTTCCTGACGATTCTTGATTCCGATTCTTTTAAGAGGCAGGGTCAAAAAAGTTTAGCTAACCTTGCTAACCAACGGCCTTTCTGAAGGAAATACTCCTTTAGTCACAAATTTTGCATTTTGCAGAGATTTCGTTATTTTTAGAAAAGTGAAGCCACACTTTGGACCGCCGACGTAAGCTACTCATGTTCGACTCGCGCGGTTATGCCAACACTTCCGGTAGACGCTTCTTCGTTGGTGTTGTTCAGCGGTTTCTTCTTCCGCTCGGCGGACTGTGAATATCGAAACTAGGAATCGAAATTTTAACTTTTGAACGATTCCGGGAAAAACAAAAAGTTAGTCCCGATTCCAATCGATACTCGATTCTCGATACCCAACCCTACTTATAGGCATCTAAAGATTTGTACGCCTTCCGATAAACATAGATGGCGTGTCGATGAGATACAGGTAGATGTGGCCGAATGTCAAAAGTGGCCATGTGTTCGGGCTTTTGCTCTCACTCAGGCGATATGGATCAGGCAGAGAACATGAACCCCGGTTATATAAAAGCTTTACCTTATATCTCCTTTGAGCTTCTTCATACACAGTATGATCATATGCTGACAGAACACATAGACTGATGCGTATGTTTTGGTTCTTTCTGACAACCAGTTCGCGCCCACGCCCTTATCGTGACGTCGCTTATGCTACGTTCACAGCGGACGCGAATAGCGCATCAGGCGTGAATGATTTCCGTGTTAAAGGAGAACTCCGGCGAACAATGAACCTTTGGTCTAATAAAACATCGGTACCTAGTCAACCGTTCTCTGAGATTTGTTTTCATGATAATCGAATGTAAAGAGTTTTATCTCTAAAAACTGTTTAGCGTATAATGCTAGTAATGGGGGCATTGAGTAAGTAAAAGAAATCGCTAGTTTATACCACTAACAAGGCTCAAAATAGCCCCACACTAACGCAGTAACATAATGAGGCTCCATACATACAAAACGAAGCATTGAAAACTTTGTAAGTGTACAGACCGTTTAATAAGAAGATACTTTATGAAGACAGTTCACTTCGCGTATACAGACAGGAGCCATCTTAAAAAATAGTCTCGATAAGTCGATCCCCGAACGCCGCTCATACAGTTCAGAAGTTCGTTGAACTTCATAGAGTTCAGATCACTCAGCACGACGTTCGTGGTTTGACTTATCGAGACTTTTTTTTAAGATGGCTCCTGTCTGTATACTCGAAGTGAACTGTCTTCATAAAGTATCTTTTTATTAAACGGTCTGTACACTTACAAAGTTCTCAATGCTGCGTTTTGCATGTATGGATCCTCATTATGTTACTGTGTGAGTGTGGGGCTATTTTGAGTCTTGTTAGTGGTATAAACTAGCGATTTCTTTTACTTAGTCAATGCCCCCAGTACTAGCATTATACGCTAAACAGTTTTTAGAGATAAAACTCTTTACATTCGATTATCATGAAAACAAATCTCAGAGAACGGTTGACTAGGTACCGATGTTTTATTAGACCAAAGGTTCATTGTTCTCCTTTAAGTCAATGCAAAGACGTGTTACGCGCGTAAAAAAATTCCTGTGGCGCGCGGCGCGGAAAGCGCGAATTGAGCGTCTGGCGCGTTAAGCGCGTTACGCACGAATGATTTAGTTAGTGCCGTTTGTGCATTCACGCGTTTGACGCGAATTCGCGTCTGCCGCCCGAGTTGAAAAATCTGAACTTTAGTGTGAAGTCGCGCCGCGTTAACCAATCAGGAGCCTGCTGCTTGCTCACGTGGTGAAGTATCTGGATGCTTCAATAAATTATTTTGTAATATGACTAAATGCACAGTGTGATTATGCACAACAAAGCAAATATTTTATCACTTCAAACATTATTTCTATATACGAGACACGTTCATTTTGTATTAAATGTTATTCATTCCATATCTAGATTATATTAAATAGTATTATGATGTAAAGACAACCAACATACATGTGCGTAAGTTCGTGTCTGGACGTGAGAGAGAAAAAAAAAAAATCACAGGACAGGTTAATAACTTTTGGAGGCTGGCTCTATTTATCATCAAAACTGAAATAAATGACAGATTAGATGGATGAGGGCGAGGGTGATCCTCACTCCGATGCGGGACAACAGGTCATCAAACTGGGCGCGTGACAGGCGGAAGTAGCGCTAACAGCGGCCGTCATCCAGCGCAGCTCCTGGAGCGAGCAAACGGTGAAACTCGCCAAACGGTTCGGCTCCGAAGGGTCCGGCGACGATGATCCAGGGCCGCTGTTCTGCTCTCCAGAGTAAACACAGAGCGGTGATTCTCTCGATGAACATAAAAACAATGGCCGCCAACGGATTTCGATTCTGACGCGCGTAAATTTCACTTCAAACTTTTGTTTTTACGCGCGTCAGTTTCACTCTTGACACGTGAATTAACACAAAGTGGTCAAGCGTCAAACTAGACGCGTCAGGCGCGGATTTGACGCGCGATTCGCGTCCGGTGTGAACGTAGCATTATGACAACATCCCTATTGCAGATATCACTAAAGCAAGATTTTAAAGCACAACATAAATCGAGAGTTTATTCAGATTCAAGGGGAACCCTGACTGACGAGAGGAGCTGATCTGAGTCTAACTCACACACACACACACACACTCACTGTTGTCGTAGATGGGCTGGGACACCACCGGCTCGAGCGGGAAGAGTTCTCCGTTGGGTCGAGTGATGGACACCTGGAAACACAGACGCACTGCGTTCAGGTCGTACTCTTCCTCCCAGATCTTCCCCTCAGGAACTACACACACACAAACACACATCAATCAGGAACATTGACTTTCAGAAGCATCGTGTGTGTGTGTGTGTGTCAGTCACTCACTATTAAAGGGGTTGTTCTGTGTTTGCAGTCGACATGAAACGGCGTCTCCCACATCCTTCTTCTTCACACACTGAATGCCCAGATTCTGGAAACTGAAACAGAAGAGAGTCGGCAGAGCGAGTTAGAGATCAGGGTGGCTACAGGTATAAACAATTTAAATTTAAGACTTTTTAATACCACTTCTAAATTAAATTTAAGGAAATATAAATTAAAAATGAAAATATACAGTAATATTTCCAAGTAAACACTGTCTGTTCAAAATGGTAAAATGACAATAACCAATTGTCAATTGCGTACATGCGGTCGCCACAATGGAGTGAAAAGAAATATAGAAGGCATTTTTATGAATGTCTTAAGCCTTTGTATGTTTTAAATAATAAAGTATAGTTTATTAATTAAACTAATAAAAAGATAAAAAAGACTTTGAGATATGTTTGGTAATTATACCTTTTAATTTAATAAATTAAAATTAATTTGCTATATTTCAGATCCATATTTGTTTTCCTTAATTTTAATTAACCCTAACTTTATTCTCATTATAAGAATTATAAATAATTGATTTCCGTATAAAATAATACTATAAACAGAATAGTACCCTTACGTAGAAAATATTCCAGAACGATGACATGACATATTTAAGACCTATCCAATCTGAATTTGGGGCAATTTAATACTTTTTAAGGCCTTATTTTTAGGAAAATTGATTTAATACTTTTTAATGACCCTTGGCCACCTTGGAGATATTACAGGATCAAACACACTCACACACTCGGCCACAAGATGGAGAACCTCTGAAACACACAGAAAAGCTCTGAGTGTGTGTGCGTTGCGCTGCTTACGCTCGTGTGAAACCGGCGTTACTCACACACACTCTCACACACACACTCTCACCTGTGTATCCGCCGCTCCTGTAAATCGGCCTCATAATAGCCGTGTTTGCAGTCTTTTCCCACCAGCTCGTGTGGGTGTGGCTTGTGCGGCTGGTTCTTGGTTACCAAGGAGATCCGCACTCTCAGCGGCCCGCTGTAGTTGTGAACCTGTGGATCATACAGCCGTACACTCACGTCAACTCTCCCTCATCTATACAGCGCTACAGATGACAGGAGATTACAGACACAGAGAGGGTTCAGATCTAGAATACAGTTAGTGTCCAGATAAAGTTAGATCTGATCGATTCACTTCCGTTTTCATTCCTGAACGAATCAGCTGTTTGAACGAGTCGTTTGAATGAATGACTCAATGACTCATTAAAGGAGTAGTTCACTTTTAAAAAAAACTTTTGCTGATAATTTACTCGCCCCCGTGTCATCCAAGATGTCCATGTCTTTCTTTCTCCAGTCGAAAAGAAATGAAGGTTTTTGATGAAAACATTCCAGGATTTTCTCCATATAATGGACTTCAATGGGGTCCAAAAGACAGTTTCAGTGCAAACTGTTCAAAGGGCTTTAAACGATTGCAGACGATGAATAAGGGTCTTATCAAGCGAAACGATCGCTCATTTAATAAATAAATTAAAAAGTTCAAGTTTTATAAGCTCAAATGCTCGCCTTGCTCTGTTCTGTGATGTGTGTTCGTGACTCTCCTGTTTGAACTCGTTTATCAAAATGAACGAATCTTTTTTCGTGTCATTTGGTTCATTCCACGAACAAAATGAACGAGTTGACTCGGGAAAAGATTTGTTCATTTTGATGAACGAGTTCGAACAGGAGAGTCACGAACACACACATCACAGAACAGAGCAAGGCGAGCATTTGAGCTTATAAAACTTAAACTTTGTTATTTATTTATTAAATGAGTGATCGTTTCTCTTGATAAGACCCTTATTCGTCGTCTGGAATCGTTTAAAGCCCTTGGAACAGTTTGCACTGAAACTGAATTTTTAAACTGCGATTGTATTTTTTCAGTGTAAATGATTTGATTGGTAACAGCCCTATAGTGTCTTTTTATTCAAATTTAATTGAACAAATTTAAGTAATTATATATATATTAATTCAAATTGAAAAATGAAGCATGTATTTATAAAAGATAAGGTGAAAATGCTCTTTATAAAGGTTAAAATATCAGAAATACGCCAAAGCTGATTGAACACTGATGAGAATATTGCTCCAGAATAAACGTATTGAATAAATTGTATTTTATATTATTATATTTTAATATGTATTATATATATATATTATTTATTAATATAATTATAAAGTGAACGACTGATGTACTCAAGCAGGCTTCGACAGCATCAGTATGAAGCACACACACACACTGGACGTAACTGCACACACTCCGGTCTCGCTCACCTTGATGGCGGGGTGTGTTTTGGTGGTGTCGTTGCTCTTCTCTCCCGGGATGCTCCCGGCGGATCGGCCCTCACACTTATAGCGGAAGCGCATGCCTCGGGCTTTGGGCTGCTCGATCACCTCCACGTACGGAGGCCCTTCAGGGACACACACACAGATGATCTACAGCTCTCTCTCTCTCTCTCTCTCTCTCTCACACACACACACACAGTTCCTACCTTGAGACACCGGGGACGCTCCCCACTGTTGAAACAGTCCTGGAAGTGAAAGATTAGAGACACAGATCAGTTTACACACAGAAGATGAGCTCTCGAGACACACACACACACACACTCATCTCAATATCATCAGATATTCAGCTTTATCGCAGCTTCACTGAACAAAATTCTGCACAAAAGATCTGGCGTAATGTTGTGTCCTTGTTTTAATCGAGGTTGTTATTTTAATTAGATTAGGTTGTTATTTTTAATGCGATTGTTTAATTGAGGGTTATTTTGCTTCCTAAAACAATTTGTTCACTCCTAGTTGGTGGGAAAATATTACGTGTGAAGGGATATTAAATAATGAACACGGCTCTTTAACTTAAATCTTTAAGTAATTTAACACGGCTTTTTGTGTTTTTACTCGCGTCTGACCTCACGTAAAAAAGGCGGAGCCTCAGAGCCACACCCGCCTATGACATCATCACCACGGACCAATGGGAGTGTTTGAAGGTATTTCTGGAAAGTTCCCTTTAGAAAGTTGTTTTGAACTGAACGCCTGATTTTGCTTTAGAGAATGTATAGTTGTGCAGTGTGTCCTCAATCAATGTTTTCTGTCATTGTTTAACGTGACGTTGCAGAAGCGAAGTGTGTTATGATGCTGTTTCATGATTGTAAATGCATTGTCATGGCAGACTGTTAGCACATGAGTAACTCCAGACGGGTTAGTCATCACACACACACACACACACTCCAGGGTTAAGTAGGTCATGGTGTGTGTTGACACTCCTCTCTCATTCTCTGTTATGAATCTCAGGATAACGCTGTAATATACTGTACTGGGGTCAGAAACTGTGTGTCGGATCCTCCGCGCTGAAACCCAAACCCGGCGTACGGCAAATAATATTCAGACGTATAAAAGTGTGTGTTCGCCTTTATAACCCCAGTCAGAGGAAGAGTGTGTGTTCACACGCGTCTCCACCCCGAAATAACCATATATGACCTTACAACGCCTCGTTACTATACGTATCCTCATCTGCATATCATTTGCATATGATTATTAATCCACGTGATCCCATGTTTAACGGTACCAGACAGGAGAATATGAGATATGGATGTGTGTCACATTGCTAAATCCTTTAGTAGCCTGTGTTAGTACTAGTGTGAATGGAAACCGAAAGGCCTTTAGTGTGATTATTGATCATTATTTGTGTAAATATTTCCTCAGATCACGTTCTGCTGTTATCCTGCGCTGAGCGAACATTAACACACACAGTGTTCAACGCAGCGCACACACTACTAATATTACTGTTCATTACAATAGAAAACATGTTCTCGGTAATGATTTCATGTCATTTAAGTGCTTAACAAAAATTACTTTTGCAAACTACTTATTTTTTCTTTTATATTTTGTCTAAAGGTTCAATAAACCATTATAAAAATAATAAATCAGTCTATTATTTCATATGTCCGGCTTTGCAGAGCTTTATTAAAACATGTCCTTACGGGTCTGAGGATGAGGACGGTAAACAGCTCCAACACACACAGACTGTATAGACATGACAAGACTAAACTGTTCAAAAGGTCAAAAAAAAACATTCCCACACATTTTGTCAGAATTGATTTATGTCTCTTGGAATGAGATCGCTCCTGTGTCAGGGGTCTGTTGGCCGGTATAGGGGTCTGTGGGGCGGTATAGGGG